TCTACATTAACCCTTTAAAAACTAAATTAACCCTTCAACATTGATATAGAAAAATATAATTATAAATTCAGTTTACGAATTTTAAAAAGTTTTGTATTGATTAATATGGATACACGTGCAATGCACGTGAACAGAAGCTAGTTATATTAATAGTGTGAAAGAAGCCTTAGAGCAACGATAAACTTATTTTTGTGTGATATCGGTCGCGGGTTTGATTCGTTGAAACAACCATTAATGCTTGCATTAGGGTACTGTCTGCATCACATTCCTTGAGGTGTGGGTGCGGCCTTTCCCGGACCCGGCGTGACTGCCGGATGCTTTGTACCGGGCTGCCCCTTTATATTAATTGTGTAACAGTTACTTATATTTTCAGTAATCAGTTATACATAATGCATTTATTCATTGGCTAGCTAGCCAATAATTGTCATTTAGGGAAATCCATTCTTTTTTCTCTCTATACTTTGTCACTTCTAAATTTGCCTTGTGATATCTTTTGAAAGGGAAGATAATTGTGAAGTCTCATTCTATTTTAGGCAGTTACATATACTTTATAGGAAAAGAGGAATCACATGTCATTTTCCATTGCTGTTGGAGAAAAGTAATTAGTTGGTAGTAAAGTAGGTTTTATTATATGGTTCACGTGTGAATGCATTTGTAACACATGCAATTTGATTCTTCTATATTTAAATAAACCAATTGACTGCATTCGTTCAATTAATATTTTTATAATAAGTATTACTAGTCACCTAGAAAAATATCAACTAATAAGATGTTAAATCATACTTAGCGGATAAAATTGATCTTATTATCTGAAAGATCATTTGTGGCGAAAAAGTCGGAGCTTTGTAATTAAACTGAGGTACAACTGGCCGGATACATACACTTTTAACGATAAAATAGCACGGGCTAGCGAGCTTTCGGACTGGTCATTTAAAAATAGCCAGCATTTTTGTAAAGTCATTGAAAAATAGCCACTATTTTGCTGCAATATGGACCGGTCCAGCATAATATACTGGAGATTGGTGCAACTGTGTATGAACTTCCAGCATATTATGCTGGAACTCCAACACACGGAAAGTTCCAGCATAATATATTGGAGATTGGAGCACTTATGTATGAATTTCCAGTATATTATGCTGGACCGCTATATTATACTGGAACTCCAGTATATTATGCTGGAGTTCCGAGTTTTAGTATACTTATGCTGGAACTCAATTTTAATATGCTGGAGTTCCAGTATACTTATGTTGGAACTCCATTATAATATACCGGAGTTCTAGTATACTTATGCTGAAACTCCGGTATATTATGCTGGAGTATTTTCCGGATTTGAACACTGTTTTCGTTCATATTTATCTTTGCATGAAAAGTGGCTAGATTTCGATTAATTTTAAAACTGTGGCTACTTTTTGTAAATCTGGCTATTTTTAAATTTCTCTCACATTTAACTAGAAATTTCAAATTCGAGCCTTCTATATATATATATATA